GCTAAGTCAAATAATATAAAAATTGAAAACAGTTTTTTGCACATCCAGTAAATTATTCATCTCAGGTGAAAGCAGTTTTAAAGGAATGGTAGAGAGTTAGAAGCCATATTGCAGTGAGCTGAGTGATGAAAGTTAAAAATTTTAGATAGCAAGGTAGACATTTTTAAAGAAGTTTGGTTTTAAAAGGGAGGGGATAAGAAGAGGTTTTAAAGTAAAGCATTATATGGAGTCACGAAAGAGTTTTTTCAAGATAGAAGAGACATAAGCATGTTTTATTGCCCAAGGAAAAAAGAAACTGGAGAGTTTGAAGATTAAGGAGATAATAGATGGGACAAGATCCTTAGGTGGTAATGAGGTGACAGGATCAAGAATATTCACAAAGGAATTAGTTTTAGAGGGATGGAAGAGAAGATCTCTTTTTCACTGAAGGTGGAGAAAGGTGTAATGAAGAGTGTGGATGCAGGCAGTGAGGTACTGAAAGCATTCCTGCTTTATAGACTTTTTCTGTGAAGTAGGCAATGAAGTTTACTAAAATGGTCCTTTAAGAAGTTGTAGGGGGAATTGTGGGAAACAGGAAGCCTTCAGTGGTGAAGGTTTGAAACAGCTAATGTAGAGGATAGGTAAAGTATACTTGGGAAATATTAAGAGAAGTTGTGGGTTCTTGAGCATGAAAATGACATAAATATAAAGCAATGTTTTAAGAAGATTAATTTGAAGGTAGTAGCTTAGGTCCATAGGATGTGGCAAGACAAGAGAATTGTGTTTTGAGTGGTGTGCACTGATAGACATGGTACTAGTCTTTCTCTAATTGATGCTCCCATTTTCACTTTTCTGTTTTGTTCCCACTTGTTAACTCAATTTAACAAATGTTAGCTAGGCTAAAAACTCAAGTGTGGAGACATATCTGTTTTGTTCACTCAGTGCCCAGCTCATAGTAGGATCTCAAATAATATTTGCAGAATGTATAAATGCTCGAGTGCCCATATGCCTGGTATTTTCATGGAATTCTGGGGGATAGTCTTCAAGAAACTTTCAAGATCAAATTTGTATCCTGGCCAGATATAAAAAATGATTACTTGGTTTTTAGAGAAAACTAGTGTGAATAGGCAGGTTACAGAAGAAAAAATATAAATTATACAAATAGTAATAATATGTATGATAATATTGTATATTTAACTCACATAGAAACTTGTGCTTGGCACATAGTAAGCACTCAAATGTTAGCTGTTTTAAT